AAGTGTGGCTACGCAAAAACTGATCATACGGACGAAGCCATCAAGCCAGAAGACTTCACAGGCGAGTCGTGGAACATACACAGACATGTCCGCGAAGCGCCCACTGACGCTTTTGGAGACATCAGCTTTGGTGGTTTGGGACAAAAGACAGGCAAGGTGAGCCAGTCCTTACTCTACATTATATAATGTTACTGTGTAAATGCACATCTGCAAGTCTTTATGCCATCCTTTAAATCTGTGTGTACATGTCCACTGTCAGTACGCCCGAGTGTCCACAGACACCAGCCCTGAGATCCTGTACCAGTTATTGACTGAACAATGGAAACTGTCCCCTCCCAATCTACTGATCTCAGTGACCGGAGGAGCCAAGAATTTCTATCTGAAGTCTCATCTTAAGAACATGTTCCACAGAGGGCTGATCAAAGTGGCCCAGACAACAGGTCAGCCAGAACGAGAGCAAGCGAGCGATAGTTTTGTGTGTGAAAGATCATTCATTGCACAGAAAGTAGTGTTTTTATGGATACGTGCCACCTCCCATGCTTCTGTTCTGTTCATTTTGGTAGTCAGATAGACTTCAGCTGTATGTAGTTTGCGTTTGTACTAACTGTAAAAACAGTAAAAACTTGTAATTCTAACATCCTGAATATCTCTCCTGGTTTCCTGGTAACCTTGCGAACTTGTGAAACTTTCAGAAAATGATTGCTCCAGGCCCAGAAACAGTCCCACACTCAACCCCCCCATTAACCCCCTCCCCTTTTTTTTTTGCATGCTTTTTAGGTTGTTTCCAGAAAAACATTCACATAGGAGTTCTATCTTTAAAGTCAGGACTGTAAGGCTCTTAATATTGACTTTCATATTTTAGAGATATTTTGTTCTACTGGTGAATATGCTGCTTTGTACGCAGGTGCATGGATCATCACTGGTGGTACCCACGCAGGTGTGATGAAGCACGTGGGGCAGGCTGTGAGGGACTACGCCATGAGTAGCTCCATGCAGGGCAAGATTGTAACTATTGGAGTGGCAACATGGGGGATAATTCATAACAGGAAAGCACTGGTGCATCCAGAGGTAGGACAAACACTTATGGTGAGATGGCATCATCTTCTTAGCATTCAGTTACTGTAAATTCTTCTCAGTCTCTGTCTTTTTCCTTTAGGGGTGCTTCCCTACCCATTATTTGATGGACACTGGGAACCAGGGCCAACTATCCACTCTCGACAGCAACCATACCCACTTCCTGCTGGTGGATGATGGAACCCATGGACATTATGGTGTAGAGATTAAATTGCGTAGCTGCCTTGAGATGTGGATCTCTAGAAAGTGTCTTGGAAATAAAGGTTAAAGATAACAGATGTAGTATCTAAAAAATCAATAAGACAACACAGATATTTATTGAAATATAATAATATATCTTTCAAGCTTTTGATTTTTTTTTTTTTTTTAATTGATCAAATATTTGATCTTTAGGGACTGGTGTGACTATTCCTGTGGTGTGTGTGGTTTTGGATGGCGGACCAGGCACGCTGAATGTGAGTCAGCAGTTTTTTGGCCTCTCTCCCCCAGTGTCAGTGTGTATGTGTGTGTGTGTGTTGTTGTTGTATAACTGCCCTATGTGTCTCCTCTCAGACCATCTACAATGCTATGCAGCATGGAACACCATGCGTGATCTTGGAGGGCTCTGGGAGAATAGCAGATGTTATTGCACACGTGTCAGGACTGCCACTAATCCGAGTCACTATTGCCCTCATCCAGCAGTTGATGAAGAAGTTTTTTGGTCAAGAGTATGAACAATTCTCAGATGGCAAAATCATAGAATGGACCAAGAAGGTATGTAAATATACTGAAAACCATAAAATTACTGAACTTACTATAGAAGCATTTTTGCCCAGAGTGTGGAGTTTGCATGTTCTCCCCGTGTTTGCGTGGGTTCCCTCCAGGTACTC